TCTTTCCCTGCTTTCTCTTTCCGTCTCCCAGCCCCAGACTTCCCGAGGCTGATAAGGGTCCCAGCAGTGCAGAGCTGCGTGTTGTGGCAGATAAGCCAACGATGTGCCTGGGAAAAGGAGAGCTGGTCGGCTTCCAGTGATTAACTTATTTTCTAAGGAGTTCATGCCACAGAGGACTGACCTCTGCCTTCCACGCATCTCAGAGAGAGCGGGGTGGGGCAGGATGGGGAGAAGGAGCAGAGAGGGGGATAGGAGACCGAGAGGGAAGAAGAGGGGATTGCAAAACCAAGAAGCAGGTGGGGGCCCAGGGAGGCCCGCAAGGAGGATGGAAAGCAGCCCCTTGAAGAAGCTGGAGCTTGGGCCTGGCTCTGCACCTGCAACCCAGGTGCCCTGCCCACCTGTGTCTTCTCTCGTCCAGGAGTGTGCTGGGGAGCCCCTCTTCTCCCTGTTCTGTGCCATCAAGCAGCAGATGGAGAAGGGCCCCATCGACGCCATCACGGGCGAGGCCCGCTACTCTCTGAGTGAGGACAAGCTCATCCGCCAACAGATTGACTATAAGACCCTGGTGAGCCAACCTCGCTGCTTCCCCGGGGCTCCAGCAGGTGGGCTTTGGTCCTGGGCACCCCGGCCCAGCAGAAGGGACAGTGTGATGCCACAAAGCCACCTCTCTAGGTGTGTCTGCTCCACACTCCTCTGTGCCCTCACCCCGACTGGCTGTCACACCACACCAGGGCATCTGGATTAGGGGCCACCTGGGCAACACCCAAGCTAGTACCCTGGTGTGCTTCCAGGCCAGTGTACTGAGTTGTGAGCCCAAGGCCCCTCCCCCAGGGCTGCCAGCCTAGGGGACCTCATCAGCCTCCCAGCATGGAGAATTGACAGTTCACACATTTCCAAGCAGCTTAGAAAGCGTTCTTTGGGTTCTGAAGTCACCTTTGCCCCCTCGTCTAAGCTCAAGGACCAGTGTGGCCAGTACCTTATAATGTGAGACCAGCAGGGCCTAGGTTGTAGGGCGTTTGTCCAAGGAACATGGAAGTCCCCTCCAGGCTCAGACGGCCTCTCCCAATAGGAACTGTTGCCCTTGGAGAGAGCAAGCTTGGAGTTGAAAAGACAGCTCCATATCAGAGCCCAACTCTGCCTCTGACCAGCAGGGTGAAGCCCCTGCCCCCCCTCCCAGGTGGGACCCTACTCTGCCTCTGACCAGCAGGGTGAGGGGTGGGGCAGGCAGGGCCCTACTCATACGGAATTTACATTTCTTTGTCTGAAAGCCTGGGAATAGTAATAGAACCTACAAAAGCAGGGATGGCGGAGTTGTCCAGAGTATCAAAGGGGTCAAGTCACACAGGCATGAACCCAGTGTGAGTGCTCACGGGGCTGGCTCACATGGGTCCTGCGCCCCTCTCCCCAGCCTGGCTGTCCCTCTGTCCCTCCACTGGCTACCTGCTGTCTCTCCCAGCTTAGGGAGCTCACCCTCAGGCTTCCCTGGAGAGAGCTGTGATCTTCCACCAGGCATTTTTCTCCAAGAAAGGGGAGAGGAAGGAGAGGAGTGAATGAGAAATGAGATAAAGCTGAGTGTTGGGGTGGTGGGCAGGGCACCCCAAGAATGGAGGCGAGACAGCTTGGGGATGAAGACTGAACCAGATGGGACTTGAGGTGCAGTTGTCAGGAAGGGAGAGGGAGGGAGCGTGGCTCTCAGACAGCCCCTCCCACCACTGGGGAGACAGTCCCCAGCTTGGAACAAAGCCATCCCTGCTGGCTGTGAAGGCTGCAAAGGCTGCATGCGTGATCCACCTATCCCACTCCCATTTTCCGAGAGCCCCGGGAATCCCAGCAGACATCTGAACAGATTTGCCGGGATTGGCTCATTGATGAGGATTCAAAGGAGCAGCATGTGAATGAGGCCCCTGCCTCCTTGCCGTTACCGTTACCGTCTGTGCCGCAGGAGAGAGTTGGAGGCTCCGATTAAAATGGGAGAGGGGGAAAAAACCTTCCAAAAATAGAGCCCTGAATGGATTTCTTAATGAGCTAGAACTGCTGTTTAAATGTCTCCTGCCCCGTCTCTCCTCTCCACTCTCTCTCCTTCCCATTGCATGAGCAGCTTCCCCATGTTGAAGCCAGCACAATAGTTGTAATAATGTTCCGGCCCCAAATTGCAGTATCTTTTATTCCGGAGTATTATTAGCACACTGAGCTGGTTCGGGGTGACTCGAGTTAAAGAAAACGTGAGAGAATCAGAGTGGGTCAGGGACATGCATCCATTCAGGTGGAACACTTGGGAAATGGAGCAGTGAGGGAAGGAGAAAGAAACTGTGTTTGGTCTCCAGACGAGATGGCTGTGGAGGAGAAAGGTACCCGCCACGTGCAGAGAGGTTCCTCATCGATAGTGCGGGGGAAGGGAAG